ACGGAATTTCCGGATGCAGGCATCGAACAGCGGACCGCAGACTGCCCCTGAATCGTCGGAGTCAGAGTAACGTGACACGTCTAGGCCTCGCGCGTCCAAATGTCAATACGTATAGATAAGCCTAAAGACTCGCTCATCCCGAATAGTATGGTATAAGCGGAGAATTCAAAGACCTAGGTTAAAGAATAGGTTGCACCTCCGATGCCGTCCGTGTTCGTATGGAGCGCATTTTTTTTCTTCGCCAAGAGCATGATAATCTTCATACGCAGATGGATCCACTCAGAACTCATGATTCGCTCTCGGAAGCCTACGGGGAAGTATTTTCGGCGTTTCCGTCTAGTCGTAATCCAGATTGTCGTTCCACTGGAACCGAGCGATTGGGACGAGAATTGGTGATAAAGCGTAAGCCGTTCACCGGACAACCAAGACTTCCGCGAGCAAACAATTCTGCGCCCAAGTGGCTCGCGCCCAAACGGCTCTGCGCCCAAGTGGCTCGCGCCCAAACGGCTCTGCGCCCAAATGGCTCTGCGCCCAAATGGCTCGCGCCTAAACGGCTCTGCGCCCAAATGGGTCGCGCCCAAACAGCCGCGCCTAAACGGTCGCGCCCAAACGGTCGCGCCCAAATGGGGCGCTCCGGGAGCAGAATGCTGGAACGGAGAGATCGGGAGTTTCAGAACAACCAGAACTATCCAGCCGAGGCGATTGAGAAACCCTGTCGTCTTGATACGCTTCTCCAGGATTTGGAGCTCAAGGCCCCGTCGGGTAGGTGACGCAACTACAAAGCACTGCTCTTTCGAGAGCCCGGTCATCTGTATGACACCCAACGGAAGATTCGAAATGAGAATTTATGTAGGTAGTTCTGTTTCCCGCTGAGAACGGCGCAGCTTTCTTCTCTGACCTCTCCCCGTGACGGGTGAGCGGAGACAAATCAATTGCTTGGCCTCGTCGACAGCTTTTCCCAAAGAAGATCCCAAAGGAAGATACAATTGGCCGACAGGCCGAGCTGTGAGCGGTGAAAATTTCTGACCGTGTTCTATCCATCATTTCCGAGTTCCTTTGCGTCCTCGAACTGACTAGGCAAAAAAGCATCGTCGGTCGGGCGGAGAACGCCGTATCTCGCGTCGAGCTACCTTGCCGAAGGAATTTCCCCTGATTGGCGACAGTGTTCTCTCGATGTTCTCAGCGAGAAACTCTATCTGCACTCGACTCGTGTCGTCCTTCGGCGCCCGTCTCCTATGAGCTACGTCTTCGCCCTTATTCTCTCGTGCTCGTGCGAAGGGCTTCATCATGCGAGGAACCTTCCTCGTCTTCCTCCCGCGTTCAGAGTGCAAATATTTGGGTATCCTCTCATTAGTCGGCATCACATGTCGCCCGTCGCCCTTCTCGCAGAGCGTCGTTGAATACTTGAAATATTTCCGCGTCGCATAGCCTGCAGTATCACTCCGCTTACTCATACCTCCTCTCTATCCGAGCAAGCATCTCCTCTTGAGTTAACACGCGTTACAACAAGCTGGCGGGGCAAATGACTAAGTCTGCATAATCGGATCACGCAGACTTAACTGTCCGGTTATCGTGGGAAGACCGCGCGTCACCTCTTAGAAAACGAAGAAAAACTGCGTCCATCGAAATCCGGCGCAATGCAGGGACTGACGAGTGTGTTTAGCCCCATGGACTCAGCCATCGGTTTGTCTCACCTCACTGCCCGGATCGAGAGCATCCCCAATCGTCGGAAGGAAAACCGATCGATAAGACCGCAGTATTCCGTGCGATCGTTTTTTCGGCACGAAAGGTCTTCTGATCGGACTCTCCGGAGCTCTGGCCGTATCAGCTGATAACTGGTGATTTGAATATCGCATGGCCCCGAGAATATTTTGGAGACGGGAAAAATCATTGACCCCTCGAGTGGAACTTCTCGCATCGTAAGCCGGGACCTTGCGAAATGTCGCGATAGACAATAAATTTTTTGTGACAATCGCCCCCAGATCCACTAGAGTCGAAATCTCCTATGCCGAGCTCCAGGGCTCGACGGGAACATGACGGAAGTCATTCGAATCGTTGCTGGATTACTCCCGAAAAACGATGAAATCTCAGATTGACGATATGGAGGCTCCGAAAGGTATCGAGATAGAGCGAAATGGGACCGATGCGTGTCGATAGAGCTCTCGAAAGGAAGCGGAGTGTCGACGGGTGGGGAGAGTGGAGAAAGACGCGGTCCCGGGTCCGGGAGCCCTCCGGGGTTCCGGCAACTAAATACTCGGTCACTTACTCCAAGCCATTGATTTTGGATTGACTTTCGTCTGCTCGAGGCTCTGTCGCACAAAAATTGTTCGATGCTTTCCTTCTGAGGTTCTTCGCCTAACCGCTCACTTGGCAGTTCGATGGGACCACTTCGGGCGGAGCGCAGTCGTACCCGGTGAGTGGGTGCTCTGATAGTACGAGGACTTGGGAGCAGCGCAAGACGACAAACGTAGGCGACAACCGCGATCGTCCGAAGAACGGCTCGCGGGGCGGTACCATCGGAATAACGGCGGCAGACATTTATTGCTCCTGTCGCAAGAGCTCCCAACCCACCGTCGCAATTCCGTCCCAAATGTCCAACGGGAGTGCAGCCGACCACCAAACGGTCCAGTCGCTTCGTTGTATTGTTTTCTCACTGCCCCGACTCGACCCGCTCACATGCTCCAGAACTTCGACGATTCTTGATTCTACTTTCAGCGCGGGGTTGTCCCGCTCTTGCTATCCTTTTTCAGTTGGTTCTTCTCCCCATGCGGCATCCTCAATGTGTTTCGTCCCTACCGGCAGCAGCTCTATACCAGGAAGAAGAGAGGGAGGAAGAGAGTGTTGGGCTTACCTGTGACTATTACGTCCCTCTCCGCGCGGTCTTGGCCCATTGTATTGTTGGCTACACAGACATATTTTCCACTATCACCGAGTGCGACTCGAGTCAGGACCAGCGTTCCTCCCGTATTCCAATGGGTATTCAGAGGAATTTTTTGTCCGCTTTGCGGCATCACGCGGTACCAATTGTACGTCGGAGCGGGATGCCCGCTCGCCACACATGGTAATCGTAATGTTGCGTCTTCTTGAATTTTCTCCCGGAGCTCTGACTCGAAGATCCTGGGCGGAGAGTATCCTTTGGGCTCTGCAAGGAGGAATAGATCGATTAGGCGCTACGTCCATAGGAACACGATTCCGCCGATATCCTTAGATATGGAAAATCGTCGGAAAGAATTGAAATCGCCTGGAAGTTCATCCCACAGTCATTCAATATCTGATTCAATTTCTCCTTCAAATCAATCTTTTTCCAATTCATCCTGATTGGTAATTTGGGGGCTCGATTCGAAACGGAAACAATAAAACTACACAGTAAGGGCTAGTTTTCCATGTTCGGGATCCATCACTATGACCCGCGGTGAAATTCGCGGGTACAACTTTCACAGCGGTGGGCGGTCGAAACAACATTCGTTAGACGTTTCGTCAGCTTCCAGGACGCGAGCCAACAGTGATGTGGAAGTCAGTGTGAAGAGAAGCGGTGCGAGCAGCGCTGAATACGCAGATTGAGGGGTTGCCTGCTAATTTGCGTTTCGGCGAGTGAAAATTTCCGAGAGACGGAAAACAAGTCGATCAAGAATCAGGTTGAGTTCTCATTGCCGCCCGCGCCAACGACTTGCACTGGGGGAGAGATGCAACAGATTGAATAGTGGGAACGACGGAGGGATTGAGCGGAAAGCTAGAAGCATCCGACGTTGGTCCTCGTTGCAAAGCAACTCATTAGTTGTTCGAGCTCCTTTCGTCCTCGATGGAACGACGATGGAGGTACAGCCGGTGGTAGCGACGGTGATCGTGCCGAGTCGGCAGCTCCTTTCGTGTGAGCAGCTCTGGTTAATTCCGTCCGACATGTGTGGATTTCCCTCGAGTCCCAACTCCTCTTTCCCCTTTTCCTCCCATACCGTCCCGGAAAGCCTCTCACTCTCGCGCACATACGTCGTGGCGGGCGTCTAGGAGACGCACACAGACATACACCTCCGATGGTAGACTGGTAATGCTGCAGGTAAATTAAATCAACACCGAGTTGTTCTCCATCAAGCACCAACAGCCACGTCGAGCCAGGGGAGGGGGCGACCGTCACGCCGGCCGGTTGTAATAACGTTTGTTTTCTTTTCATTGCCGGCGCCCCCTAGCCCTCTGTTCTCTCTCGAGGCGGTGGCTGCTGACGTGTTGGGGAAGAAACTAGCAAAATTTACTCAAGCCACTCATCCGAGCCGACATCTATCGGAATCTGCTTGCCAACATGTCCCGTTGCCTGTTCCCTCCGCACCTTCCTCCGACGTACTTCTTTTCTGCCGCTGACATCGACACCGTGCGTGCGTCTCTGTCGCTGACGAAGACGTAGAGCATCGGCATCTCGATATTCTCCTAATGAGCTCGGGCATCAGACTCACTTGAGCGCTATACGAGGGCAATTATAATAATTATGCAGATGATAATTCTCGAAAATTTCATCCTCAATCAGACTTATCGTAAGTCGTCGATCGGTATAACCGCAGATTCTCTATTCGCTTTGAATTCGTTCCTGATTCACGCGGAAAGCGAGAGAATCTGACCGGCTCCGCAGGTTCTAGGAGCAGTCCGGTGAAGAGGTTGCGGAACGGCCGAATGGCGTCTCCCGCCGCCATCATAGGGAAGTTGAAGAGTATCTACCCGCTATCGGGAAGCAACATGTTTCTCGCTTCTTCTACTTGCTCTACTGACCACCGCTCGCCGTCCGTAAGTCCGCTCGATCCCTCTGTTAAGCTATAAAGTCGGTTACACGAAGTTTGTTCTTGTCTACACCCTCATGTTTTTCTGAAGAGTTTCTTGTTATTCGACTTCTAGAGCTTGTTTGAAGTCGTTCGCTTGTCCCCTTGTTCTCCCTCCCATCCGCCGAGCAGCTGAGCCTAAAAACCGTCGAGGAGGCCGGAACGAGTCGATAGGAAGCGGGATGAGTCGAGAAGCCTTGGAGTAGAAGTGCGGAGAAAAGGAGAAGCATAAAAGTATGCTTCGTGTCTGGCCTCACAAGTTACGCGATGCAACGTCTGCACATCGAGATATTTGTATGAGACATAAAAAAAAGAGAGCATAACAGCTCGGATTCTACCTTCTCGAGTTCCCTCCACTTTCCCCAGTTACTGAGTAACTTTGCCCGAGGTCTGTTTCTTTCCTCCTCCCGTCCTCCTCGCCTGGCCTGCCTGCTCGATTGTCCACCGGTGGGCCTTCCTGTCAAGCGGGCGAAGCCCATCCGCTCGATCGGCAGGTGACCACAGCGATGAGCAGAGTGGAGGAGGCGCTCCGAAAACCCGTTTCGATAGTGACTACTGTGGATTGGCTTTTCCGCATCACGATGGACGATCCCGGTTCTCGAACGTCAGTCGAATCACGCGACATATTGGACGAGACTTTGACCGCGACGTTTATTTCCCACCACCACGTGTCGGTAGTATTCGCTCAAGCAGTACGTAGACGGCAGAGAGAAACCCTCAAGGATTTGTGTACTGCCGATCCCAAGGCTGCCGCAACTACGCCCATTCTCGAACCAGGGACTCAATAAATGTGGGGAGGAGAGCTGGCCATGTTCCAAGGCTCTGGCGATAACCGGATTGTCCGGATAATGCTGTCGGTGGGGTTGTATCAGGCTGCTCCTCAGCGGCGGGGCGGCCGCGACGAACGCGCCACGCAGCTTCTTTCCGACGCAAGATGAGTCAACTCTAGCCGTATGCAAAGCAGTCCCTGGCTCGTTCAAAAACGGCTTCGGAACTCTTCTCATTCGTTCTTCTCTCCTGCTTCCGTCCGTCCGTTCGTACTTCCATCCTTTCTCGTCCGCTCGCTCGCTCATCTACGTTCGAGTTAGCCTTGCTCCTCTTCCGTCTTGCTTCAACTTGGATGATCCAGCCGAATAAATTAATTCCTCGCTTGGTCTTTTCGTCGACGCCAGCTCCCCGCTCGACGCCGCCGTGCTTTCGTTCATTCTCCTCGTCCTTCTCTCCCGAAAACGTTCCGCGAGAATGATCTGTTGAGACAGGTTTGAGGATTAGTCGTTGGCAAAATTTGAACAGGAGCCCGAGGAACGATCGACTCACTCGTCTGAGTGAGCCGAGGGCCGGCGTAGCACTTTGTATTGAGGACATGATTAAAAAAATTTCCGTTTCGACAACGTCGGAAGCAATTAGATTTTTCAGAGCGGAGTTTTATCATGTGCTCCCTCAGACATACAATGCACACGATGATTTACCCCTTCCGGCTTGATCGAGGGCGCGACGCAGTCCACGCAGCGCGTCATCGTCGACCCCGCGGTCCGATGAAAGATCTCTGAGAGCTCCAGTGTCGTGGTAAGCTAGCGGAGCTTCGAGATGGGTTCGCTTGTTCCGGATTCTTCTCGCGAGAGCCTCTTCTCCGTCGTTGCTCCCACTCTGGATAGCCGTCTTACTTTGAGGAAAAGCGCGAAACCGAGTCGGTTAACTCGACGGGGGAGGTGTTCGCCGTCGGGTGCGGCCCGCTTATACACTTTCGGTGCATTCATTTTCAAAGCATAAACGAACAGGTGGATTCAAGTATCTTCATTCTTGCGAGCGACGCCGAGCCTTTCCCCATCTGCTCTTAATCAAGGTCTTTTCTTAACTGGCCTGAATTTCCTTTGTGTGAACATCACCACTACAGGTTGCACTCGCTCGAATGCACGGAAGGGAACGGGGTAGGGGAGAAGACGCGGGCTGGAGAAATTCTCGAGGCGCAAGCGACGCAAGTTTGTGGCGAATAGGATGAATGCGTTTGCCATGAACAGGCGAATTTCAGAGTTCGTCCCGTGTTGCAGCTGCTGCAATCCACCTCGATCGTCTCAGGCGTTGCCGGCGGCAGCAGCAGCAGCAGCACCTCTATCAACAGCGTTTGTCGGTCCCCACGTCGGTCGTCGTCGGTCCGGCTTCGGTACTCCATCTTACAGAAGTTCATTCAGAATCCGGCGCTTGCCCGGTGCTTGCGGTTTAGCTGCGGCAACATTCGTCTTCCATAATAAGTAGGTGCCCAGATGTAGAACGTTTTGGAGAAACTTTGGAAAATTGTTCCCAACCTTCAGAGAGTCGACATCACGGCTCACAACACACCGAGTGAGCTTTTTGGAAGTCCCGCGACGAAAACTGAAGAGCCATTGGATTTTCATTTCCAATTCCATAGATTCAAGAAGTTGTATAGCAATTTCGTCATTCCTCCCTAAATGACGAATTCGAATGCTTCAGGCGACTAGACAGGTTCTTTTCCGGAAGAAATTTGCTATTGAAAGCCCGACGTAGAGCCACGTCAATACTTAAGGACGGCAGGGTAGCGACTAGCGACCCTAGGAGAAAAGAAAAAGGTGACGGGAAGACTCGGGGTGAGCTGTGCGTCTCTCGGGGAAGTCCCCAGGGTGCGTGTCATCTTCATTTAAGTTCTAAGACCCGAGGAGTCTTCGGGAGGAAACTTCACTAATCGGCGTCTGATCGATGAACATTGCCAGAATATGCGATAGCCGACCCCATTGGGACGTTCCTCGTCTTCGTCGTCTTTTCAGGCCGTCTCCGCCGTTGCCATCTTACATAACACGCCCCTCCTTACTGTATCTCAACCCACCCAGCTGAATTAAGACGAGAGCGGACCATTCTCTTTTTTTGCCTCCCCCTAAGTCTCACTCGGCCTCCCTCGATTCCTGACTGTCTTTTTGGTGCCGTTCTCCGCCCGCCCACTTCAATTACTTTATCGGAATCCGTCTGTCGTTCCTCACCGGATTCCTTTGGAACTCATGGTGATTCAGAAGTTCATGAACGGTGCGCGACGGGTTTCGCCGCCCCTTTCCCCCGACCCCCTCCTCTCCCTAGCTCACGCACCTCACAACACAGAGCCGCCAATCCCGCATGGTTTATACCGGTTGTTCGGAGGTAAACTACGACAAACTAAATCCTCTGAGGACATGGTATGTTTTGTTCGCTGATCGAGTTTGCTGCTTGGGGGAAGCCGGCGCACTCGACTCAGGTCGTTGACCGCTGGTGTGATCGCCTTGCGGACGATTCGGCGGGGGGGACGCCGTCTTCTGTCCCTCGATCTCTGACCGCGACTTCTCTCAATGTGTAAGTTTCATCCAGCTCAGAGGAGACACTCCAATCGAGATCACTCCGGTGCACGATTGATTGATCCCGCCTATCCATGGGTTAAAATAAGCGACTCTCGAAGAGAGAGACACCCAAAAGAGAGTGAAGAGAGGTCCTCGCAGATCTCTGCGAGTAGGAGCACTCCCTCCCCTATTCGTTTCGGATCCGGAGAAGGGAGGGCACTGCGTTTGGTGCCGCACCGCAACAATCGTTTTATCATCCAGAGAAAATGAATACACGACGCTCTGGGAGCGAAATAGAGCTGAAGTTTTCCTAGTGTACGTACGCAGAGAGAAAGCTCGAAAGAAACAGAGCGAGGAGCGAGAACGGAGCTGAGAAGTCATTCAAGGGAGTAGTCTAGGAGGAACGATATTGAGATTGATAGATGCTCTCTTCGGCGGCCCTTCTCCCCCGGTGTCCCATCGAAGCCCCCACTCCTTTCCCCATTCCGCATTCCCCAGCCCATTAGACAAAGAAAGAAAGAAAGAGCAAGAGACCGAGTAAATAAATATACATTGCGTCCAGAGCTTGGTATCGCGCGCGTTTTTCCCTTTCATTCCGTTTCCTTCTCTTTCCTCTCCGAGGCGCCGATGGAATCAATGATGAAGGAGTCGGGGATGCCCACTGCTCGAGAGGACCTCGCGTGGCTCGCTGCCGGCCCCGAGGCCGCCGCCGTGGCGTTTGCAGCAATCTATCTTGACCGAATGATTTGTGAACTCTCAACGAACGCGGCGGACGTTCAATTCAGAACAACATTCGCACAGCTGATTCAATTGTTTGCAGCTGCAGCGGATGAAACTTGTCGGAACGCATCTGAATTGCCCTTGCTTTCGAGGATAATAATCGTTGGCCGCGACAGAGAGACCTCCGACGGATCTCTCCATCGAATGCTCCATTCGTTCAGTAGAGCTCCCGAATCGCGAAGAAGAGATCATACTTTGTCCCCGCCGAAGAAGCTCGACGTGACTGCGGAGCGGGGGCAACATAGTAATAAACTCGTAATCAATATCGCGATGTTCGAGACAATTTCAATGGTTCTCGAGGATGGCTTCATAGTTTCGGGGAGCGAGAAGCCTCAATCGATTGGGTTTCACGGGACCCGCGGGTGGATTTCAGACGCTTTTTGGGAAAACTCCTCGTCTTCTCAATCTGATGCCGGAGCGGGTCTCGTCGGCAGATCATTTCGATGGTCTATCATCAAACGAGCTCCCAGCCGGTGGGAGATGTAATAGGGGGGAACAGGAGAGGGAGGGGGGAAATACAACCAGTGGAAAATCCAGAACAACGGGAGGATGAGAGTTGCTGACGGTGATTATTGGATCGCCGTCCTCTGCCTGGAAACGATGATCGGAACACTTTCATCACAGCCACAAAATCGGTCCAGAGCACGTTCCTCCACAGCCGTGAACAGCGTTCAACTAACTTTTCAACAGAAACAAGTTCCGCTCGGAATAGACTGAGGCTTGGAAAACCTCAGTCAGACAAAAGTGAATATATTCGAATGTCTTCCGAGAAGCGCTCTACGAGGCGTCTCTTCTCAGTCTCTCGGAAATCCTCACGAAGCGCCTCATTAGTTCTTCCTCGTTTGACGCTTTCGGGTTCTGTTCCTCCGGAGAAAAGTCGAACTCCGAACTAGGAACCCGGCCTGGGCTGTGAATTACGCGGCCGGTGGAGGCCGTGAGGGGACCGACGGAAGAAAAGCAAAACTTTACCCTGAGTCCGCTGTTCGGCACGGCTTAGTCAGCCGCTCGGTCGGCTATAAAATCCGAGGCACGTCGGGCCATTGCGTTATTCATAACCCTCCATTGATGGCGACATTTCATTGTATTTAAATCAGAAGCGAGCAGAACAAATGGCCGCGCTGCCGAACGGCGGTGCGCGGCTCAATACCGCCTGTCGGGATCTCTCTCCGCACTCCTTCGAATTTCAATTTTCTGTTTGCTGGTAGCGAAATCTATCAGGAGGCAACTTTTCCCCCACCGTTGGACCGCTACGTCGCGTCTCTCGTTCCCCGTTCTGACTCCGATCAAAAATGGGAATGGGACTTTCGGCTGTTGAGCCATCAGGATGGATGCTCTCCTCCCTGAGAAGATCTAGGGGGAGCTCGGTGGCGAGATTCGAGCGATCCTCGTTGCTCCAGTATCGCGGAACAAGCGCGGGTCGAGCCTTCGACCTCTTTTGTCCGAGCGGATGGATGCGTTTGTTTGGTCCAACCCGAGCCCCACAGGAGAATGAGGGGGAAGCTATCAAGAGTTCACCGCTTCAAAGAAAAAATCCCGGGTTGACCTCTACTATCATTCGGTGAGGTATGTTCCTTTTTCTCGGGACTTTTTTTCCCTCGGTGCCACGTCGCGTCATCATGTTATCCAGTGCAGAGAAGAGGGAAGAAATGCTAAGGAGGGCGAAGTGACGCTAGGAACCGACGCTGCAGGTTTCCGCATCGGAGCCATGATATTTATTTCTCCTTCAATCAAATCTCAGAGGCGGCCGTGCTGACGATGCGTTTCGCACTGATCCTCTCCGAGTCGCTCTGCATTTGGAAACAAGATGGAGACGAACGGATTCGAGCGAAAAATCCACGGGCGTCACATGAGCGAAATGAAAAGAGTTCAGAGGAAGACTGTCGGGAAACGATGGGAACGCTCCTCGTCGCCGGAGGAGCCGGAGACGTTGACGGAAGGCATCACAATCCACCAGAATGCGCGGAATTGCTGGCCTCGAATCCGAAGGGGACTGAGAAAAAAACGTGACGGAAGCTGGGCCGTCCAAGCTGCGTATTCCACGGACAGAAGGAGAAGCACTCTGGGAAGCCGGGGAGAGAGAACGAGTATGAGGTAATCTTGGTGGACGAAAAATCTTGAAGGAACGCATTGAATACCCACGAGGGCCCAGGAGGAGTATGATAGAAAAAAATCAATCGGATGGAGAACCTTGTGTCGCGCACTCCTCGGTTGAGACATTTATTGAGGGAACACAAGCAATCGAGGAGCTGAAGTCGGGAGCAAAATGCAGCACTTCGAGTAAAGTCTCAGTAAGGCTCTGGAGACGCGGTGACAGCCGCATGAGTATTAGAAGCGACCGACGGGCGGCGGAGGTGATGAGATTCAGGTCCGACGACGTCGGACCCGCGAGAAGACGAGAGCTTTTCTGAAAATGCTTTCTCCCTCCAGGCAGCCGACGAGGCAACGCTGGCCGAGCGACCGCTTAGATCGTCGACTCGCTTTCTGGAGGGAGGGCTAGCCGCCACTTTACAGCTAGTAGCCAAGATCTCGAGTGCCGCTTTTATAGCGGAGGACGGGGGACGGCCGTCCTGCCGCAAGCTACCGTCCGCTTCCTCGCCTGCCCGCATTTATGTCACTACTAGACGTCGGCGGAGACGACGACGGCGGGGGCCGTTGCTTCTGGTGTACGCTACTTCGAAATGTCCTCTTCACTACCTTGGAACAATCTCGTAGCCAGCAGGCAAAGAGCAACGCGCTCCGCTCCAAAGGCTCGTCCCCAGGTTTTCGTCCGTACTAAACCCCCAAGATTACTCGACCAGCTGGCGACGTCCATACAACTGGGTACGCTTTTGTTTCAAATACTCCAATGACGCCATCCGAGCGGCCCGCCGCGCTTCCACCGCTGGCCACGCACTCACACTCTGCTTAGCTGCCGGCGAAGGAGCGGGCAGTACGGCTCCTGGAGCCAGGAGCAATGTCGCTCTCCTCCGTTCGTAATTTCGCGCATGAAGAAAAAAATAGAAAATTGCACAGTCTCCTTCCGACAGCACCGCCTCGCCGGATTTGTGGACTCTATGGAATAACTCGGCTGGAAGCCAACCGGTTGAAACGGTGAGGAATCAGGGAATCCTGCCCTCCGCGGGACCTACTCCGCGCGCTAACCGAATCTTGATAATTCTTCCAGTGCCATTAGGACGGCCGTTTGTAGGCTGAGGCCTCTTCCGCGGGAAGGTTCTTCCAGCGCCCTGGGCTCAAAGCTCAGAAAGAGTGTCCTGGTCTAGGGAGTCATCCCACAGAAGTGAATATTCAGAATACACTATGGGGCAACACTCACCTGTCACGATGACCTTCCCCCACGCCTGGGATTCCATTTTTCCCCGGTAATGGAATTCTCGACCACACAGCGGAAACGTCGCCTCTCATCAGCTCTCGTAACTCCCGTTATCAACAAGAGTCCGTTGAGAAAAGCCTGATATCTTGGTGTGCTGAATGCTGCAATCAGAGAAACACGAGAGTTTAAAATTAAGAATTGAAGTCGAACCTTCGCATGTTCTGAAGGGGAACATTTATCGGCCCCCCGAGGTTTTCTCGCCTTCGAAAATCCGGCACATCCCTACACATCTTAGCTCCTCGGAAACACAGAAGTCCGCGAGAATCTTCTCCCAATCACACAGGGTATAAGATATAGCGCGGAGTCTGTCTTGAGTTGACGTAGCACGGAAATCACTCGTGAACCTCGATGACGGTCTCTATCTATAAAATATTCGCGCTCGTGGAAGAACATTCGGAAAAGAGGCAGACAATCCGGTCGCATCTCTGCACCATCCATCGGTAGACCGGGAGTCGGAACCTGGTACTTACACTTGGAATTTGATGGAACTATCGTCATATCGTCGTCTGTTGACCATCCCGTGATGTTGACCATTTGGCGCATCGACGGGGGATGCACAAGGCACCGGAGCACTGCGGTCCCTCCCAAGTTTGCGATACTGTCGGTTACTCCAACTTCTATCGGCATTTTGAGAACTGAAATGCAAAAAGCCCCGTTAGTTTCCGTCCCCCGTTCACTGACGTAGTTCTCATGAAGTCAAATCGAGTTCCTATCGTCTGTAATCATTCTCGCTCGGCTGTGTCCTTCACGGGGAATTTTTCTAATGATTGATCCGCTATAGGCGGGGAAAGTCGGAGAAAGTGCAATCGGGACATTTTCGGAGACGGAGATATCCGGGAAGAAATCAAAATGAGATGCTCAATCTAGACCGAGCAAATACGATTCGTTTTCCTCATGGTGTGTTAAACGAGACCAATCTGACAAGAGGATCTATCCCGCACGTGACGAGAAAAATTGCGCGGCTCGGAAGATTCGGAAGTGAAGGGGATCTGTGCATTCTTCGACTGTCAGCAGTTTTTTTCCCTCGGTCTTCTTTGGTTCCTATTTCTCGACCGAGACGACAGCGACGACGCTCCCTGCTGTGCGACGTTTCTTCGGCTCTTTGCCAGCGAACGACACTCGATACAACATCATTATAGGGCGATGATTTTTATGCAGCAGGAAGGTTGCAGGAGCCGCAGGAACGAACCGAAGCCTACCGGGGAATGCATACATTGGATAAAACACGCTGACGGCCGAACAAGCAACGCATCGTCCGAGTGAATGAGCGCCAAGTCGCTCGCTCGCTCGTTGGCTCGTTGGCTCGTTGGCTCGATCGCCCGTCCGACCGAGTGAGCAAGACGAGAACGATGAGAGGGGGCAAGAGGAAAAGGCAAGGATGGGGAGAACAAGGTTCAGCCGACAACGAGCTGCGGGTGCATAGGGTGTGCGCACAAAAATCAACAAATATTTTTTGCCCCGGTTCTCTCGTTGGCGGAGCTCGCCCAGCGCGGGGTTTTCCTCGGCTCCGAATGAAAGTGATACACTTTGCGAGGGGTCCAGAAGAAGGGTGGCGAGAACGGAAAGTAAGCCAGGATTTTTTCTCAACGCGAAGGGAAGGATTCGCCGGTCTTCCTCTATTTCTCTACTTTTCGCCTCGAGTCCACTTATTTGGAACTTCTCAATTCACGGAGAGCGGATTACCGTTTAGCTCGGTTATTCCCGAGAAAACTCCCCTGCCGGTCGACGCCTTGAGTCCTGCGAAAATCCTCAGCCGGCAGAGCTTCTGCGCGGGAATTCTCCGCTCGGCGTCGATCTATCCGAGCCGAAGTTCTTCTGCGAGAAGTCGGATCTCAGCCATCGATAGGAATGCATACTCTAGGACAACATGTATCAGATGTCAGTTCGGTTCTCGAGAGACCCAAGGATTTCGTCGCGTGTGTAAGGCATTCGCATCTGCTCGTAGAGCGCGGGCTAGCTCCGGGAAACCCCTAATTCGTCATCCAGATCTGGAAACGTGGTAGCCGAGAGACTCCAAGGAAACAGAAATCAGAGCTCCTCTCTGTTCAAGTTATTCCGTGTGTAGGGATAAAAGTCGAGGGGAAGGAGCTTCTCAGAGACTGGACTGAGCAAGAAGCACCAGGCTCAAGAAGAAATCGTGACATGCGGTGGCGGGCCAAGGACGGAGATGTGGGATCAGGCATCGCTCATCCCACACCATTGTTTCGTTGAGATCTCGGTCGACCCGCTCCTCCCAAAATCGAGAGACGTTCCGCCGATTGAGAGGGCAGCCTCGATATATGTACAAACGACGCGGGATAATCTCTCCTTTAGCGGAACAATTGACGAAAGCTGCCGGGATATTTCAGCGTATATCCCGGTTTTTTCTTCCATCGGATATTGTTATTGTACGTCGAGGTGGGCTCGGAGAAGCGAGAATCGCGGATATTCTACGGGAGGCTGTCCATCAGCGACACGTGGGCGCACTGGACGGCAGGAACAAGGAATCGAGGGAATGAGGAAGGCAGGCGCGCTCGGAGCTGGAACAAGACGAAGCAACAAGAACAAACCGCAGAACACGCTCGGCGGCTGCCGTCGTCCTCTGGCGACCATGGTCGTCCGAAGACCGTATGTATGTACGCAGGTCCGTCCGTCCATCCGTCCGTCTGTCGATTGAGCAGCCTAGCGAGTGCGCGTTTTTGAGCAAATGGTCTTCTCTCACGCGAACGTTTTGCATAAAAATGGCTCGTTCCTCGTCGTCGCCGGAATAGGACGAACGAAAAAAAGAAACAACGAGAATGCAGTGCAGCAGCAGCAGCAACAACAACACGAGCTGTGGTGATGGCGGCGGCAACTCGAACGGAATCGCCTTGTTGGTCCGTGCGGAAGACTTTCCGGAAGCAGGGAGCGCTCCGAGGGGTGAATGCCCTGCGAGATGTTTGATGGAGATTCGCCACACCTGAATGGATGAGCATATGAATGCACGAATGAGCTCACATGGCAATCAGCATGATAAGTTCCCCGAACGCCCGCTAGAAGGTCGTGAGCACCGGGGCTTCGCTTGTTACACAGACGGGTTTCGAGCCAATAGACGTCAAGGCCCGGATTTAGGAATCGCGTGACTCCCCGGCACCGGCCGTAGATCTATCGATGACGAGCAGGTTAACTTTGCCGGAGGAACGCGAATCACACAAAATACACCACGACAAGCCTTGAATCACGTTGCTATCGTCACACGATCCGCGGAGCCATCGAGCAGCAATTCATTTTCGGGACGCTCATTGTCCAAAAGTTCCAAAACTCAAAATACGCCGCACTCGAGGAGCTCCGGAGAATACTTTGACATCGAGCGGAGGTCTTTCATTCGCCATCCTCCGCCTTCGTTGCTGCCGCCGCCGTCGTCGTCTTTGTGCTAGTCGTTGTCGTTGGCGTCGTCGCCGTCTTCGTCAATTGAGCCAAGAGTGTGCAGCTTATTTTTTATGGTTCTCCCTTCTATGAGTTTTTCGAACGTCAAAGAATGTCAACAAGCGAAGGCGAGAGCAAAGCAAGCTACGCTGGCATGTATATCAATTTAGTAGCCTCCTCGCTCGGTGGCAAGGCCTCGCTGTCAACGATACCCCGTACGACCGGTCAGGGGACTGATTCCTCTTCTGAGGCTCCTCTCAGCACTGAGGCCACGACAGGATCGACGGCAAACAACACACCGCGCGAGGGAAGCGAGAAGGGTCGCGATGTCTCCCCCTCCCCGGGACTTCTCTCTATTTTCCATCACTTATTTCGAGATTATCAACCGCTCGGGCTAGACACCGAGCTTTCGCGCTAAGGACGTCTTCCATCTTGTTGGACATTGAAGCATCGATGGCAGTCCGTTGAATACCGACTGACATTGTCTGTCTGCTCCCGCCCCTACTCGATCCGCGTTCTATTCCGATACTTTGCTCGAGAGGCTGAAAGTTAACAAGCCGTCTGAGTGAGGATCGCTGTAAGCGATGCCCCGATGGCTTGAATCGGCCCGATACTCGAGAGTAGTACTCGATAGGAAATGCCACTCTAACACTCGACAGACGGGGATCGACGGAGAATAGAGCGATTATGCTCCAGGAGATCGGTGAAGAATAAACAAGATCCAAATGGAGTTTTTCCGAGAGCTTCCAACGGCTTCCTGCCTCTTTAATTTCGCTGACTCCGGGACATGACCCTTGCGGCGAATATCCGAGATGGAGTTCAGACGTGATTAGATAGACAGGGCACCATATGAATCCAAGAGAGATTATCGTGATGGAGACGACGCACCGTAGTGAGCTCGGACGGGGACTCAGGGCTCGGGCGGGGAAACGTCCCGGGGCGCCGTTTGCTCCCGGCGGAACGAGGAAGGCTCAGTAGAGCTTGTCAAAGGGAAAAAACAAGAGCGACGACGGACGTAATATCCGCCGTCCGGAGAACGGGGATCGACATGATCCGCTCTCGAAATAACAATGTTCCCCGATCGCTTTCGAGCCTTTCGACGGAGCGAGAGCCTCTCCGTGCGAGTCGAAAACAAAATGACTGCGCGAACCAGATAGATTGTCGCACGAGAAACTTCAAATCATACAGAAAACCCGTTCAGCTGGAAAAGTTTTCTTGTCAGACGCGAAGGAGTCGAGCCACTCCTGACGCAACCAGTGGATGCAAAGTCTCTTTCTACGCCGCCCGCTACAAGTCAAGAAGTTGCTATTCCGCCGCATCAGAGAGCTCAGAAGTTGTTGGCTTTCATCGAATAGCCGAGCGGTCTTGCGCAATTCCGAGGTCGATCTGGGAATCGCGGGAAAGTGATGGACGAATCAAAACCGAAGCGCAACTGACTGAGAGAAAAGGAGTTCGATGGCAAAACCAAGCCGTTGACCGAGCAGTGACCATTGCGAAGAATGAAAGAGAAATGGAGCCGCTTATAGCCTTCGAGGAATTCTATGCGATTTCAATTTAAGCTTTCCCGACCACCATCGTCTATGCGGCGGCCGCCGTCGCTACCGCCGATTCGGCTACCGCTGCTTCCAGCCTCGACCGGCCGGCGGTCAGGCAGGATCGGCCGCCGAGCTGACCGAGCGACCGACTATCTCGACCGGGATCACCGTACATACTGTCGACGGCTGCTTTCCACGAAGGCGATATCTGCAGGTACATAAGTGCTCCTCTTTTCCTTTCTTCCGACCGACCATCGGTTCGTTCGTCGTCTCCCTCGTTCATTGCCGTCTTAGTTTATCGCCGAGCAACAGATATGTCGAGAGTTCATGGTCAAGATTCGTGCGGAAACTATCCAGCTGCCCGAGTGGAGAGCGGAGAAGCCAAACAACCATCCACACGGACGACCGACGGACGGAACCGGCCATCGCAAGCGGTTCCGCGATACAGAGGCATCCTTGTTATCGAGGGATCTGGACAGTTCATCATGGGAACGACTTCCTCCGAGCGGCGCCGCCGCCGCTACGGTGAAAAATCACAAGACTCAGACACATAAACTGCTCGATTGATGTCCGAGCTGCAGCTGCCAGACGCTGCTCATGTTTCCGTCCATGAGCGGGAAAAACACGACGAAAATGAGCAGATATTCACAACGAAAACGTCGACAAACCCGGGCCTTGGTTCCCGTCCTCCGGGTCCTGAACGAGCATCGTAGGAA